AACCCAAGGCCTTAGGCAAGCCCTGATTTATCTAGCCGTTTGGATGGAGAGGGGATGATGACCATAGTCCAAAGTACAGAATGAATTCATGTCAGTGATTGTCCCAGTAGCAGATGTATTCACCACCCGGGAAAGCCTGGTAAGACATGGGGGTTGGGGGTTAAAGAAAGTTGGGGCAGAACAGTGAGGGACAGAAGTCAGACTGTCTAGGCATTATCCAAATAACAAAACTGGACAAAGACATCACAAGAAAACTACAGATCAATATTCTTAAGAATACAGACACAAAATCATCAACAAAATACTAGCAAACCAATCCAGCAATACAGACAAAAGGATTATACAGCATGACCAAGTGGGATTTATCCTAGGAATATAAAGTAGGTTTAACATCAAACAGTGAATTAATTTAATACAGGCTATTAGTAAAATAAAGAAAAAACAGGTTGGGGATTGTAGCTCACTTGCCTATCATGAGCAAAGCCCTGGGTTTGATCCCAGTTTACCACAAAAACAAAAACAAAAACATGATCTCAATAGACACAGAAAATACATTTGATAAAATTCAATGCTTTCATAATTAAAAAAAAAGCTTAACAGAAGTAAAAGGAAACTTCCTCGATGTGCTAATTATCAAAAGGCATCTATGAATAATTCACAGCAAATATCATAATTAATTGTGAAAGATTGGGTGCTTTCCTCCTGAGATCAGGAACAAAACAAGGACATCTACTCCCACCACTTCTATTTAACACATATGAAAGTTTTAGTTTGGAAAATTAGACAAGAAAAAGAAATAAAAGGCATCCAGATTGAAAAGGAAGATCCATTTACAGATAACATGATCTTGTATACAGAAAGTTCTCAGGGACATACACACACACACACACACACAAAAAAAAAAAAAAAAAACCAAAAAAACAAAACCATTAGTGCTAATAAACAAGTTCAGCAAGGCTATAGAACACAAGAATAGTATACAAAAATATATTGTATTTCTCATCACTAGCAATAAACAATCCAAAAATGAAATACACAGTTTGTAATATCAACAAAAGAAATATAACACTTTGATATAAAATTAGCAAAAGGAGTATACAATTTATATACTGAAAACTATAAAATACTATTGAAAAAAATTAAAGATCTGGGCTGGGGTTGTGGCTCAGTGGCAGAGCGCTTGCCTCGCTCATGTGAGGCACTGGGTTCTAACCTCAGCACTACATTAAAAGGTAAAAATAAGAAGAAATTAAAGATCTAACTAGTAGGGTACAGTGGTGCATACCTGTAATCCCAGTGACTTGGGAGGCTGAGGCAGGAGGATTGAGAGTTCAAAGCCAGCAGTGAGACCCTGTCTCTAAATAAAATTCAAAAATGGGCTGGGGATGTGGCCCAGTGGTTAAGTGCCCCTGGTACCAAAAAAAAAAAAAAAATCTGACTAAATGGAAAAAACATCTCATGGGTGAGAAGATTTAATATTCTTAAGATGGCAATACTCAGCCAGGCATGGTGGTGTATGCCTGTAATACCAGCAACTCAGGAGGTAATACAGGAGGACCTCAAGTTCAAGGTCAGCTTCAGCAACTCAACCCTGACTTAAAAAGGGGGCTGGGGATGCAGCTCAGTGGTAGCATGTCCCTGGGTTCAGTTCACACACATAACACACACACACACACACACGCACACACACGCATACACACACGCATATGCATGCATAAAAGTGAAAACAACTCATACAATGGGAAAACATTTTACAAATCATAATGAAACTGTACTTAGAACACAGAAAGAACTCTTACCTCTTACCAATAAAAAGACAAAAACCCCCAATTTAAAAATAGGCTAGACTTGGTCTGGGATTGTGGCTCAGTGGCAGAGCACTTGCCTCACACATGTGAAGCACTGGGTTCCATCCTCAGCGCCACATAAAAATAAACAAAAACAAAAATAAAGATATTGTGTCCATCTATAACTAAAAAAAATAAGAAAAAAAATAGGCTAGACTAGACATTTATCTAAATGACCAATAAATATATAAGCTCAACATCACATGCAATCAGAGAAACACAAATCAAAATCATGATATTCTCACACAGTAGAATAACTATAATAAAAAAGAGAGACAAGAACAAGTGTTGGGCTGGGGATGTGGCTCAAGCGGTAACACACTCGCCTGGCATGCACAGGGCACTGGGTTCGATCCTAAGCACCACATTAAAAAAAAATAAAAAAGATGTTGTGTCCACTGAAAACTAAAAAAAAATAAATAAATATTAAAAAAATTCTCTCTCTTAAAAAAAAAAAAGATCAAGTGTTAGTGAAAATGTAGAGAAATTAGAACACTCAAACCTTGCTAATGGGAATGTAAACCAGTTTGGAAAACAGCCTGACATTTCTTCAGATAGTTAAACATAGAGTTACCATATGACCCAGCAATTCCTAATATATATACTAGAGAACTGAAAACACATCTGCACAAAAATCTGTATGTGAAATGTTTATAGCTGCATTACTCACAATGGCCCAAAATGGAAATAACCCCCAAATCCATCAACTAATGAATGGATAAATAATATATATATTCATACAATGGAACATTATTTGACAAAAATAATAAGGTAGTGATAAAACTACAAAATGAGTAGACCTTTAAACCATAAGGCTAAGTGAAAGAAGTCAGTCACAAAAGACCACATTTACTTGAAATGTCCAGAATAGGCAAATGCATAGAAAGAAGGTGGATCAATGATTGATTGGGGCTTGTGGTATTGTGGCAGGGAGGAATAAGGAATAAGCAATAGTGGGTATAGTTTCTTTTAGGAGGATAAAAGTATGCTAGAATTATTGTAATGGCTGCCTGACACTGTGAATAAAGTGAAAAACAGCTGTATGCTTTAGATGGGTTAATTTTTATTGTACGTGAATTACATCTAAATGAAGCTGTTAAAATAATTCTTAGTGTGTGTCCTCAGGGAGCTTGGACTAGGATATGGAGTACCTGGAGTGTCAGAAAAGGAGTGGGTTGTCTGGGCTAAGAACTGTGGATCTTTCCTAAACGTAGGTGAGACCCATGTTATCCTCGGTTACCCAAGGTTATCTGTTGACTAGCATATGTGGTATCTGCATGCCATTTTTCCCCCTTTCTTCCTTTCTTTTGCAGTCTTAGAGACTAGGGATTGAGCCTAGGGCCTCATATTAGTTATCTTTCAAGGAAACCTATTAGTCACTTTCCCCTCCACTAATTCAAACAATTACATTGATCATAAACTAAATTCGCAGAAATATTCAAGGCTATTTCTAAACCTTCTTTCTCACTCCATTTGTTGATTTTGTGCCAGTAATATCCTGTGTTTTGGGCTGGGGTTGTAGCTCAGTGATATAGTGCTTGCCTAGCATGTGTGAGGTCCTGTGTTTCAATGCTCAGCACCACATAAAGATAGATAAATAAAATAAAGGTATTGTGTCCATCTACAACATATATATATATATATATATCTCCTGTGTTTTTACTCCAGTGCATTGGTGTTTGATTATCTAGTATGTCAAATATGCCACCTCTACCATTTAAAAACAAAACCAAAAAAAAACAGTATCATGGGCTGGGAATGTAGCTCAATGATAAAGTATGTGCTCAGCATGTTTGAAGCCCTGAGTTGAAACTCCAGCACACACACACACATACACACACCACTGCATATGAGCTACAAATTTTCAAATTCTGTTAAAACAGTCCTTAGGATGGCAATAAATTCAAGGATTAAATTACGGAGAATTAACTTTTTTTTTTTTTTTGGTATGGGCCTGAACTAAGGGGCACTTGACCCCTGAGCTACATCTCCAGCCCTATTTTGTATTTTATTTAGAGACAGGGTCTCACTGAGTTGCTTAGCACCTCCTCCTGTCTCAACCTCCGGTGCCACTGGGATGACAGGTGTGTGTCACCACACCTGGTGAGAATTTACACTTTTTTTTTTAGTTGTAGATGAACACATTACCTTTATTTATTTATTTTTATGTGTTGCTGAGAATCGAACCCAGTGCCTCACACATGCTAGGCAAACACTCTACCACTGAGCCACAACCCCAGCCCAGAATTAACATCTTTTTTTTTTTTTTTTTTAAACTTTTTATTTATTTACGTAGTGCTGAAGATCAAACCCAGGGCCTCATGTATGCAAGGCAAGCGCTCTACCACTAAGCTACAACCCCAGCCCCCAGAATTAACATCTTTTAATAATGACTTTTTTCATTCAGGTACATAGTATGTACCCATTTACTTAAATTTTGTCCTTTAGGCCAGATATATCATTTTCTTTTATAGGTTCTGAACATTTCTTGTGAGATTTATTCCTTTGTAGTTTATGGGTTTTGTTGTGAATGGAAACCCTTTTTTCCTCCAAGTATACTTTCTAACATAATATTTGCCTCAGTTTATTATCTATAAAAGGATAAGAGAACTACTCAGTTTCATGGTCATAAGTATTGGCTAAACAAAGCTAAATGGATTTACTCATTGCAGTATTTAATGCCTTTTAATAAAACTTAATCATCTGGGTATGGGGGCACATTCCTGTAGTCTACTATCTTGGGAGGCTGCAGCAGGAGAATCTCAAGTTCAAGACCAGCCTCAGCAAAACTTAGCAAAACCCTGTCTCAAAAAAATTTTTTAAAAAAATTAAAAATAATATTAAAAAATAAAAAGGTTGGGGATCTCAGTGGTAGAGTACCCCTGGGTTCAATCCCTAATATCCCCCTTCCCCACAAATCTAATACAACTTTTAATAACCAAGGATTCCCAAGAAAGGCACAGGAAATTTCCTGTATGTACTTGGCCAGGGAATCCTTTGTCATAATACATCCCCAAACATACTTTAGGATATGAGGCATCCAAAGGCCCTTTTAGTTTCTAATCTGTCAGGCCAGGCTTCATCACTGGATCTTATCTGGTGCCCAAACTCCCAACCCACTCACCCCCAACCAGAACACAGAAGACAACCCAGTGTCAAAGTGAATGCTTTAATGAGTGTTACTCAGAGAGAACCCTGTCACAGATGCTGCTGGTCTCCACTATCCCCAGCTCTCTTAGGTAACAGGTGAGCTAGTTGCCTAGGGGCAGGGATCTGGAGTCTATGGAGTGAGCTGGGTACAAATCGGTTCAGGAGGCACCCTGTCCAGGCTGAGCTCCAGGGAATGTGGTAGAGAGAGCCACCAGTTTCAGGCTGGCCCCTCTTCAGGCATTCCTAGCAAAGCCACAAGGGGTTCCAAGGGTGTGGGGGTTCCCATGGGTACAGGGTGGGTGCGTTCATGCTTGCGAAGGTCACTGGCACTCAAGAAAGCCTTGGGACAGTGGGGGCAGGCATAGGGGCGCACAGAGCTGTGGGTGCGACTGTGCTTGCGCAGCCCAGCCCTGTCTGAGAAGCTCTTGCCACATTGGGTGCAAGGGAAGGGCCGGAGTTCTGGGTGTGACCGCTCATGCCTTCGCAGTAATGTCAGGGTGGTGAAGGTCTCCTTGCACTCTCTACATACAAACTGTGGTGGCTTCTCATCAACTTCCTCACCTCCCACCTCTCCCGTCCCTCCCAAGGAACTGGGAGCCTCCCCAACACCAGCATCCCGGCACTCCACATGTTCCACAGTCATGCCAACCACTTGCCACTGTGTGGCCATCACACCACCTGACTCTGGGGGCAGCCCTAGCAGTCCTGCTGGAGGGTCCCCTAGCCCTGTACCTGCTACTGGGGCGGCAGAGCCTTCACTCGCAACGCCAACAGGCAGCGCCAGTCCCACTACCAGCTCCTGTTGGGGAGTAGCCCCAGAAGCCTCACTGCTTCGATGGGTCCGTTCGTGCTTCCTGAGGCTTGATGATACCACAAAGGATTTTCCGCAGGCGTTACAGTGGAAAGGGCGCTCACCAGAGTGCACACGGCTGTGCTTGGTGAGACTGGCACGCTCAGCAAAGGCTCGCCCACACTCCTCACAGCGGAAGGGCCGCTGGCCAGAGTGCACCAAAGCATGCCGCTTGAGGTCCCAAGATGCCACAAATGTCTTGTCGCATTGCAGGCACTTGAAGGGTCGATCGCCTGTGTGCACCCGCCGGTGCATGGCCAGGTCTGCCGGCTGCCGGAAGTCCTTGCCACACTTCTCGCAGCGGTAAGGCTTCACACCCTCGTGAGCCCGCTGGTGGCGCCGGAAGCTCGAGGGGTCAGAGAACATGCGGCCACAACGTGGGCAGAGGAAGGGCTTCTCACCAGAGTGAGTGCGCTCATGGCTCTGGTAGGAGCTGAGCTGCGTGAAGCCCTTACCACAGGCCGGGCAGCGATAGGGCTTTTGGGCCGCATGAATACGCTGGTGGCAGGTGAGGGAAGATGAGCGGGAGAAGCTCTTCCCGCACTCAGAGCACAGGAAGGGTCGTTCACCGGTGTGGGACCTGTGGGAGTATGGAAGACCAGACATGAAGGTGACAGACCCAGGAAGGTGACAGAATCCTTTTGTCTCTCTAGACTAACTGAGGGGCCTGGGGGGGCTTCCTCCCAATCCCCAGGAGTCACACAGGGCTCCACCCTAGAAAGAAACTTCCAGACGCACACCAAAGAGCCCTGGACCAGGCCCTATGCACAACCAGGCTCCACTGAACACCCCGCCCCTTTCCAGCTGTGTCCTACCTGCTAGGCCAATCCAATGCCATCTTCCTTCAGCGTTCCATCTCCAGGTGTTCTGCCCTGTCCCCCAAACCCATCCCCTGTCTAACCAGGGACACCAACTTCGCCCACGTGCCCAGGCCCACCTTCCCATTGACTCATTTTGTTTTTTGAAACTCAACCCCAGGCCCCACTGGTTACAGCAGTGGCAATGGTTTTCCCACCCATGGACAAACGGCTCACCGCTCGTGGTTGCGGAGGTCCTTGAGCTCGGCGTAGGCCTTGCCACAGCGCTCACAGCCGTAAGGTCGAAGCCCAGCGTGCGTGCGCCGGTGCTTGCGGAACACCGAAGGGTCCGCGAAACTCTTGCCACAGTCGGCGCAAGCATAGGGCCGCTCTCCCGTGTGACCGCGCTGGTGGATCTTCAGCTTGGACAGAGCCCCATAAGCCTTGGGGCAGTGTGCACATCGGAAGGGCAGCTCACCAGCATGTGAGGCTAGGTGCACCCGCAGGCACACGGGCTGCATGAAGCGGCGGCCACACTCTGGGCACGGGAAGGGCTTCTCGCCCGTGTGGCTTCGACTGTGGCTGCGCAGCTCTGGTGCAGTCTTGTAGGCCTTGGGGCACAGCGGGCATGCATAGGGCCGAGGCTTAGCTGCTGAGCCTGACACCTTGTCTCCACTGGCTTCCTCTGCCTTGGGTTCTGACTCTGGCTTTGGCTTCACCTCGGCCACTTCCTCTGGGCAGTCTGCAGGTGTATGTGTGGCAGCATGACGTGCTGCCCTGGGAGCATTTGGAAATGTCTTGGTACAGGACAGGCACTTATAGCGTCGGCCAGAGCGCTTGTAGCCTGGGGCTGGGGATCGGGCTTCCGCAGCCTCCACCTCCATGGCGGGCAGGGCTTCTCTGCAAGAGAAGCAAGGTTAGACCAAAGCCACATTCTTCTTCTATTCCTTAAGGTCTCTCTCCTCAGCAAAGCTTCAGAGGGAACCCTAACTTATCTGCATTTCCCACCTGGTTACTCTGCCCAAACCATGGGGCTCCCATATCCTCCCTGTCAACCATTCCTAATTCTGATAGTCTGTTGTTTCCTCTGTGATCTGCTCATTAAGGGTATGAATGAACCAGGTATCCATCTCAGAGGGACTCAAAGAGGAGCTGGGGTCACAAAAGGTCCATTTACACTTCACTCCCTAACTTCTAGGCTTTTCCAAACCCTGTGGCATTACTAGAATGTCTATGTTCCGTCTGTCTCATCATCTTCCTTCCTCAGCTCAGTGTCTAGGGCTGTGCCAAGATGCAGAGTCCTGTGGAAGGCTGCAGGGTAACCAGAGTGGGCGTGGTTTAAAGTTCTCCAAAGGCCCAAGGAATACAGTACTGGGCCTAGAAGAGGGAGGAGCCAATGAGCTAAATGTGGTGGTTGGCACTGCCTGGAAGAGATAGGTCCCCCATATGTGTGTTGTTTTTCCTCTCTAGTTAGTTAACTCGCAGAGAAGCAACTGTTCAGATAATTCTGGCCTTGCACAGCTGCAAAGGACTCCACCCCAGACAGGAATCCTGGTCCACCCTCTGCTCTGGAATCCCTATTGGGCTCCTGTTCTCATAACTCTGGTAATGGGGATCTTTCTCTCTACAGGCAACCTGAGCTACTGCTAGCAGTTAGAAACCTTTCTGAGTTCTCTCTGATCTAGTGAGGACTCATGGAACAAAAGGTCTTGTTGGGGTCCTTAATTTCTGGTCCAGAGCCCAGATACCATCTATCCAGCTGCTCCTGGGATCATGGTTGCAAGGAAATAGGATTAACAGCTGCACTGGTCTTAACACCAGCTCATCCTCCCGGGAGGATGAAGGGAAGAGGATTATAACAGATCCACTTAAAGAGAGCTCAGCAGCTGCAGCTTGGGGGGGGGGGGGGAGACCCAGAAGGGAGAGCCAGGTGTGCCAAGGCTCTACTTCTGCCCTGTGGGTAACTTACTATGAAATCTCAGTGACATCAGGGCTTGTTTTTAGGCCCATTTCCTCCTCTGCTGTATGTCTCAGAGGTTGGTGGCTTCTAAGTTATGACACTGGGATTGAGGAGGATGGAGCTGACCGAAGAGGGTGTTGGGAGAAATATCAAGAGGCTCAGGGACCCTTATTCTAGGAAAGGTTTCTCTTTGTAGACACTGCCTAATTCCTACTCACTGCCCTGCCCCTCACCCATGCAGCCAGTCTTCTCCCACAGGTATTGTGTGATGCTCCCTGTGTCCTACTAAAGAAATTCCCATGGCTTCTGTACCATGCCAGTTCCCAGACTTTTCCTGGTTGTTCCAAATCACACCAATCCTTCACTTGAGGCCTGCTTCCCCAGGTTCGTTCTGCACCTTCCCTTTGGCCCCAATATCACACAACTCCATTTAACCCTCAGCTTGGTTCACTTTTCTCATTGAATTCCAAGGCTTAAAGGTGAGCTAAAGGATTTGGATTCTAGCCTTACCAGATGGCTCAAATTCCTCCTGGTTTCCAGGGATCCCTCCTCATCTCTGGATGATGCACTCACTATCCCTATCAGGCCATCTCTGGAGAATCTGCCTGATAAAGTTTCCCCCTTTCAAAAAATGATAGCAGACTGGGGACGGGGAGCACATAGTAGTACAACACTTGCACATTTACTAAGCACTTGCCAAATACCAGGCACTATCCTAAGCTCTGTTTACATGCATTAACCCACTTACCCTTCATGTCAACACCATGAGAAAAATTCTTTTCACAGATAAAGGAACCAAGGTCCAGAGGAACAATACAGCATTGTGGCTTAGTGTACAGCCTCTGAAGCCAGAATGACCAGCTTCAAATCTTGCCTCCATCACTTCCCAGCTGATGCAAACTTTGTGTGGTTTACTGCATGTCTTAGAACCTCAGTTTTCTCATCTGAAAAATGGAGGTAAAAATAGTACTTACCTCATGGGGTTTGGTGAGGATTGGATGAGACAAGAATTACTCCTCTCAATTGTTCAGTCTTTTCAGAGCTAGACACTTTGCTGAGAATGTTACCTCATTTAACTCTGTCATTGCTTCCTGATAGAGTACTGTCCCCATTTTATAGATGAATAAACTGAGGTTCCAAGAGTGAAGTAACTTGCCCATAGTCACACAGCTAGTAACTCAGGCAACATCGACTTTAACCCAGGTGTTTAACTTGTTTTAAATTGTTAGATTCTTGCTCTAGTGATCTGGAACCTCCCAGACTTTCTATTGCCTGGGCCAGCCCCACAGGGACCAGAACTCTTGAGCTCATAGGTACAACCTGAGCTCAGATTGTACCTATATCTTCTCTCATCCCTACAGAACTTCCTTGAGACCAGAGCCAGCACCTGTTTTGTCAGAGTACTCAGCCTACTGATTCTGAGCTCTGGCCCCATTCTGGTCCATGACAGCTCTGAGTCTTTCTGTGAAACAAAGACCAGTTGCTGGGGTGGGGTAAATCCCACCTAAGGCACTTCCCAAGGGAAATAGTAAGGAAGTGCCTGGTTGGTCCCAATAGGTACCCAGCTCCATGAAGAGTGGAGAGCCAGGTAGGCTGGGCTTGTTGAAAACCCAGAATTATGTTCTTACTTCCCTGTTTACTGAGGACTCTTCCTCCTATCACTCCCTAGAGTGATGTTTCTCCAAGTGAAGTTTAAAAGACCCCTATGTTATGGTTTGGATATGAGGTATTCTCCCAAAGCTCTTGTGCTAATTAATGCAAGAGTATTCAGAGTTGTAATGATCAGATTATGACACCTGTAACCTAATCAATCCATCCTAGATTGGATGAACTGACTGATGGTAATCATAGGTCAGGAGGATAAGGCTAGAGGAGGTGGGTCACTGGGGTGTGTGTCATGGAAGGGGTCCTCTTCCTTGAAGCCCCTTCCCTGCTTTCTTCTCCTTCCTGGATGTAACGATCTGAGCAGCTAACCTCTGCCATGATGTTCTGCGTCACCTAGGGCCCTGAATGATAAAACCAACTGTTCATGGACTGAACCTCTGAAGCCATGAGCCCAAATAAACTTTCCCTCTTCTAAGTTGTTTTGGTCAGGTATATTGATAACAGCAACAGAACGCTAACACACCTACATCAGAATAACCACCTAGGGAGCTTGGGGTAGGACATAGGAATATGCGGCACACATCCTTAAGTCTTTACACACTCCTAGGAGAGAAGCATTTTTACTATACCTCTGAAAACAGTTGTGGGAACTCATTACCCACGGCGAGGAAGTGTTCACAAGGATTCATATCTCGTCAAGGAGTCCAGATTCAAACTCAAGTTTTCAAACTCCTGGGCTGGGCTCTTTTACTACCAGTTTTTATTCCCTCAAGCTTTTTATAGTCAAATAATGACATTGATCCCAGAATGAAGACCAATATTTTCCCACAATCAATAAGCCCTGATTCATCTAACCCCTGCCTCATTTCTTCATCTTAGAGTTCAGTTCTTTCCTACCTCAGGACATTTGCATTAGCTGCTCCCTCATAAGAACCACTATTTCCCCAGGATTGTTGTGTAGCTCTCTCAGATTTCCTTTAGGTCTTGATTCCCTATTGCTTCCTTAAGTAAGCTTAGCTTGACACCTTCCCCCCCCCCATACCAGGGACTGAACCCAGGGTTGCTATAACCACTGAGCCACATCTCCAGCCCTATTTTATTTTGAGACAGTCTCACTCAGTTGCTAAAGGCCTTGCTAAATTGCTGAGGCTGGCTTTGCACTTGCAATCCTCTTGCCTTGGTCTCCTGAGTTCCTGGGATTACAGGCGTATGCCACCATGCCTGGCTATGACCACTTTCTTAATGCTCTCTACACTCCTCTCCTGCTCATCAGTGCCCATCCCCTCTTTAATTTTTTATGGTGTCACCTGAACACTCCTTGCAAGCTAATTTATTTACTGGGACTGGGGATTGAACCCTGGGTAACTTTGTTAACTGAGCTACATCCCATGCCCTTTTTTGAGACAGGATCTCACTAAGTTGCTGAGGCTGGTCTCAAACTTGCAGTCCTGCTTGAGCCTCCCAAGTCACTGGGATTACAGGTACGAGCCACTGCACTTTGCAAGCTTACTATGGGCCAGATGTTATTCCAAGTGTTTTTTGCATACTGCTCAAACTAATTTCACAAGTGCTTAGAAGTTTGTTATGAATTGAATGTGTTCTCTCAAAATTGATTCATTGAAGCCCTAACCCTCACTGTGACTGTGTTTGGAGACAGGGCTTTTCTCAAAGTATTTACAGTTAAATTGAGGTCATAAGCCTAGGGTCCTGGTCCAGTAAGATTACTGTTTTTACCAGAAGTGACACCACAAAGAAGCAAAGTCATAGACACAGTCAATATTCAAAGTCAGGCGGCCAGACTACCAAATTTTGCTCGTCTCCTAACTATTGCTTTGCTACCATATACTCTTTGTTAGCATTAAACTTTTTGTGATTTGATTGTTAAATCTCTGCCTCTGGTATGGAAGTCCAGGCGGATGAAAAGCCAGGCAATGTGATAAATTTGCTTCCTCTACACCCAGAACTATTTGGTGACCCAAAGCAAACACAGTGAATCCACTTCAGATGGAATTCAAACCCAGGTCTATAGCCTCTGCCTTCTCCATAGTAGTTTACAAATCACTCAATAGCTGTATTTATTAACTGATGTTTTCCTCCTTTCCAAGTTCACCAGGTCCAACTATCACCCCAATATTCCAAAGTAGGTTCACTGTTGTGACAGAGCTCTGCCTTTGCTTCACTACTAGCCTAGAAGGGAATGAAGGTCTTTGGTGTCACTGTTGTAGTGTGGGACCAGACCACTCCATGAGCTACTGCTCTGAAAAGCAGCTGTGGAGCCATGAAGCAGGCACTGGATCCTAAAGACTGCCAGTTTTTTGTGAACCCATAGGAAGGATTTCAAGCTGGTCTGAGTAACAAGCAGAAGTTTACTTGGGAAAATGAAATAACAGAGATAAGCATAACGATATAAGCATATACCTCCCGAGAGGGTGGTATACTGTTCACAGAGCCAGGGAGTTTTAAAGGATTTCAAACTACTGAATTTGGAAACCCTTCACAATCCAAAATCAGGAAGATGCAGATGTTGGACATAGGAAGTCTTGCTCCCTTCTGATGTGATATGGAAGGTTCCAGGGCTGAGGAAGGAGCCAAAATCTGTGAAATCCTTGTCTTTTTGAGTCCTGAAATCATTGGTTGATATAAAAATCATAAATGTCCCCCCTTCAGGGTAAGTTGTATTCTTCTTATCTGCAGGGAGGAGACTTTCTGGATCTGAATTTCTTCTGCAGATAACAGGTAGTTTGCTGAGAATCCTATTGACTTAAGCCAGGACAGGAGGGCAGATAAGATGCTTTTAAAAAGAAACCACATTAGGCTCAGTCTATAGAATTATCCCTTAACCTTATATTCCCACCACTGTCTGTTACCTAACATTTTTCCCCTCAAGGACTTAGGTCCCTTAATTCTTTTAGGCTAACTGGTCACCAACTCATTTTGGCTGCTTTTTGCTGAGAGGGGGCAATGTTCGGAGATGTGACCTTAAGTTCTTGTTCACTGTCAGGTGGGGCATGGGCAGTTAAGGGTATTTAGCATCAGGATGTTAGGACCATTTTATACTAGCAGCTGGTAGGCAACCAGTCAAGACATATGTAAGGGAGGGATCATGCTTATACAATGATAAAGACAGAAAAGCATTATTTTTCTGCAATAAGTAGCATAAAAATAAATTTTTTAAATCAGTCAGTCCCTGAAAACTACAAAGACAGTAGCTCATAAAAGCTTAAGGTAGGGTCTGACATGGCATTAATTTATGAGTGGATGTCATTTAATGTTTGTGGGGGGCTGAAGGTGTAGCTCAGTGGTAGAGTACTTGTCTAGTAACAAGCAGAAGTTTATTTGGGAAAAATAAATAAAAAATAAACAAAAAAAAGTTTCTGTAGTTATTAGCAGAGTTGTCAAGATATATCAATGAGTCCATCTTTGTAGGAGGTTAGGAAGATTGGCAAGTTTGTGAGAATAAGCTCAAATTGACTTAGGACAAACTTGCGATTCTGGCAGTCTTTTGTATACTGTCAGGCATTCCTACACAAGAACCCTTCTTTTATGACCTCTTAGCCTATGCTTACTTCTGATAGGGCTGACATAAGCATACATCACAAGTTTCATTAAAAGAATCATTGTTGGGCTGGGGTTGTGGCTGAGTGGCAGAGTGGCAGAGTGCTTGCCTCACACATATGAGGCACTGGGTTTAATCCCCAGCACAAAATAAAAATGAATAAACAAAATAAAGATATTGTGTCCATGTATAACTAAAAAATATTAAAACTAAAGAATCATTGTCATCTTCTTTAAAGCAACAATATCTGACTGTGCTTTGGTTATACTTTCCTAATGAGTGTTTATGACTAAATATGTGACTCCTATGTTGGTCAAAAATTAATTTTTTCCCCCAACCTTTCAGATAAGCTGAGACTTCTCAGAAGTTACTTTTGAGAACTTTTGAGAAGCCCTCCACTTTTTTTGTCTGTCAGTGAGCCATCTGCCAGGATCTTGTTGACCATAGGTGACTTCCCTTTGTAGTATTAAGGATATTTTCCTCCCCAAAGACACTCTTTGCAGAACATACATTAGTTGGCTTTCTGTTTAGGATTCTCAAAATCCCCCGAATCAGGTTGGTTGACTCACCTGGAGTTGTAGGGCCCTCACAGGGGTCCTATTGTTTCCAGGGTCCTGTTTCACCTAGAAAGCAAAGGCTAAAATATAGGCTATTTTTTTTTTTTTCTTAGCCTTTTTACTTCCTTGGCTTTGATCTTTTAAGCCTTGGTTTTAAACACCCAGAAGGCCAGTTTCACCTGTCTTGAAGTGGACATAATGGGTTTAATTTTAATGTCTATAATTT